ATGCTACCATTAACTGTGACCTTCCCAATTTCCCAGGCTGGTCCTATGTCATGTACACCTTTCCCCTATTTCCTGTCCCACCCATCTGGTGAGTATAATTCTAGCTGAGCTTGGACAAGTCATGTGCCCCAAACCACTCTTCCACCTCTGCAGCAGGAACCCAGAAGTTAAAACAATTGGGGGTGAGTACAAACATACCAACCATCAAGGAAGATGACGAGGACCGAGCAATGTTTCGTTCTGTTACACATAAGGTTGCTGTGAGTCAGAGCCGACTCGATGGTAACTAACAACAGCAAGTGAGGCTGCAGGCCTGGAGGTCTGAAGATGCCCAGCCAGTGAGGTTTGTGGGAATGTGGACAGGGAGAGGGGCTGGGATCATTTTCAGGAATGCTATCTTGGGCTTTAAAATGGCTAGTTTTGTGTCCCTGCATCTTTTCAAGGAAGATTATGAAATGTTTATCTCCGAAGGAGATTAAAACGGCAACAAAGGGCTGCCTTGTGTTATGTAAGGCACCACTCACTTGAGAGCAGGGGCTGGGATTAGCTGACCTGCAGTCCTTTCCAACTCCACAACTGCATGAAATTGGGTACATGGTATGCTGCCATCCCCAGGCCCCACAGCAGGCCACTCCTTCCTCAACTCCAGCTTTGGGCCCAGAGAAGAGGGAGGGAAAGGTCCTGGACCATCTGGATGAGAGAGCTAAAGAGCAGCCCAGTGTTCAGCCATATGTTTGCCAACATGCATGAAGATATTTGGTTAGTATTTATGAAGACATCTTTTTGTTTTGCCTTAATTCTGAAGAAGCAGGAAGGGAGGCTGAATAAATACCCCCAAGCCTCCCATTTAAGAAAGAGTTCTTATTAGGTTAAATAACTTGGGAGACTGATTCTGGGCATCTGGCATTTGCAGCTGTGTGATGCCAACAAACAAATTAACCAAGCAAAAAAGCCATGGTAGCGAATTGCAGGGCACAGTGTCAGCACCCCACTGGGCTCCTGGGAAGCCCAGGCAGGTGGGAGTGGCCAGTGGGGGCTTCCATGGGGAGCCAGGACTGAGGGTAGCAGCCAGCAAAGAGGAATTCAAGAGTGAAGTCAGATGTGGTCAGAAGTTAGAAAAAGTGTAGACATCTGAACTATTCCAGGAAGGTGGGGGGTCCAAACTCATCCTGTGGAAGGTGGTAGAGAAAACTTTGGCTCAGGGGTCCCAAGATTTGAGTTCTAGTCCCAGCAACGCCACTGAATCACTGATCTCCGTCCCCCAGGCTTTATTATCCATCTCTAAGATGAAGATTGGACTAAGTGATTTCCACAGTCCTGAGCAGCACTAACACAAAAACAAAAAAATTCTTCAGGCACAAGATCACCATAAACTCCAGGGCTGGAAGTTCGGTGGAAGAAATGCAACAACAGCTAATCGGAAGACTGTTGTTAGCCGCCATTGAGTTGACTCTGACTCATAACAACTGTATGTACAACAGAATGAAACATAGCCCAGTCCTATGTTGTCCTCACAATTGCCAGCATGTCCAAGTCCATTGTTGCAGTTATTGTGACAATCCATCTCACTGAGGTTGTCCCACACCCTCACTAGTCCTTTACTTCACCAAACATGATATCCTTTTCTGGCAATTGATCCCTCCTGATGATATGTCCAAAGGAAGCCAATCAGACAGTGTTCTGCTGTGATTCATAACATTTTCATTGACTAATTTTTGGGAATATATAGCTAGGTCTTTGTAGTCTGTCTTAGTCTGGATTTCCACTGAAAACTGTCCACCGTGGGTGACCCTGCCCTGAAATACCAGTGGCATAGCTTCCAGTGGCATAGCTTCTGGCATCACAGCAACACGCAAGCTACCACAGTATGACAAACTGATAGACTGGTGGTGGAATGGAGAGATAGGAGTTGCAAAAACCAAGTATGATCTCTGTCCTAGCCCCACCAACAAAACTCTGCCATCCATGGCAGCTTGTTCTCTCTACCTTCCATCCCATATCCAATCTGTCACCAAGTCCAGACAGTTTTATCTCCCAAATAGCTCTCTAATATGTCTTCTCCTTGCATATCCACTGCCATCACCTTAATTTAAGTCACCTACATCTTTCTCCAGGAGCCTTCTATCTGTCCTGTCAGCAGTCACTCTGTTTTCTCTCCAGATCATCCTTCATAAATACAGCCACAGGTTTAAAAACCAAAACCTGGTCCATGTCACAGTTCGCTGAAAAATCTTCAATGGCTTCCAGATACACTTAGGTTAAAGGAAATACCGTAAGAGCTACAAGGCCCTGCGTGGTTGGATTCTGATGATACCTTCAGCTTCACCTTCTACCTCTCTTCCTTACCTTTCCCATGGTTGTCTGTCAGTTCTCTTACTAGGCCATGTTTCCTGGCACTGCCAGGCATTTGCTCATGCTAACCTCACACTCTGGAAAGCCCTTTACCCACCCACTTGCCTGGTCAACTTCCTGTCTAACTTTGGTCCACAGTTAAAGCATCACTTCCTCAAGGAGGCCTTTCCAACCCCAACCCCTTCCCTGCCTCCCAGATTAGACTAGGTTCCTTGGTCAAAGCTCTTCCGCTCATCTTGTACTTTTCTTTTGTAATACCACAGTTTGCAATTAAACGTTTATGTGATTATTTGTTCAAATCTGCATTTCTTGCCATATTATAAGCTCTCTGAAGCCAGGGTGTGTATCTGTTTTACTCACCGTTGTAACTCTGACATAAAGGATAGTGTGGACAGTTAATTAATATTTGTTGAATAAATGAATAGATGAATGAATAAATAGAAGGCAGGAGGCAGAATAAAGAGGTAGTTAAAATCTCAATATCTGGAGTCAGACATACTTAAGTTTAAATCGTGGCTCTGCCTTTTATTGTATGTGTAATATTGGGCAAGATATTTAGACTCTCCAAGACAAAGTTTCATCATCTATAAAATGGAGATCTTAGTATCTACCTTAAAGATGTGTTGTGAGAATTATTATAAGGACTTAGAGTGTTCAAATACATTAAGAGTGCTAACATATTAAGGGAAGCCTTATTATAATTATCATCACCACTACAGACGAATGCCCATTAACTTCCATGACTGCTGTAACTTCCTACTCCTGCTTCTGTGGTTCCTATTGGGCTGCAGCCAAGTCTACCCTAGCTTGTGGATGGCTTGGAAGGGAGAGCAGTCAACTGTCACTTGTCTGAAATAGGGCAGATGATGATAGGTTCTCAAGCTTTAATGGACACCAGTATTGTCTGGGAGCACGAGTTAAAATGCAGATTCCCAAGTTCCACCTCCACAGACTGGGATTCATTGGGTTTGAGGTGGTACTGGGGAATTTGCATTTTAGTAAGACTCCACAGGATTCTGATGCATAAAGTCTGAGGACCAAACTTTGGAAAATTCTAGTATATTGAAACTAATATGAATATGAATACTAATGGTATACTCTGACTCATATAAATTCTTCCCCTTCACCCTCTCTGCTCCATAGCATTATGCCCATATCTCAGAGGTAGCTCTTACCATATGTCTATCTCTGATTTAGCTTGTGAGCTCCTTGGGGACAAGGACTGTGCCTTATTTGGGCTTGTGTCCCTAGGACCTAGCACAGCACTTCGAATGCCTAAGTGAAACCTCTGTCTCAATTTCTGGATCCCCAACCTGCTTTCCCTGCTGTGTTCTCCATCACAGTAACTGATGTCGCCATTTACCCAGTTGCTCAGATCAAAAACCTCTAGATCTTCCTTGAATTCTCTCTCTTACATACCTACATTCAATCCATCAGCAAACCCTATTGACTCTACCTTCAAAATACTTCCAGAATCCAGCTACTTCTCACCGCTTCACTGCTATTCAGCCTGGTCCAGTCCACCATTATCTCTTGCCTATACTACCTGGTCTTTCCACTTCACCTCTTGTCACTACATAGACTATTCCCTGCCCAGCAGCCAAGGTGAATTTTTAAAACATCTCAAACCATGTTTCTCTGCTGCACAAAGCTTCCAGTGATTTCTCATCTCACTTAAAAGAAAATCCAAAGCCCTTACCATGGACCAGAGGCCTTCCTTATTGTGATCTCTCCCCACCCCACCCCATCTCTTCCCACTCTTCCCACGCTGTTGTCTTTAGTGTTCTTCCATACGTTCAGCTCACTCCTGACTCAGAGCCTTTGATTTGCTTCCTTGCATTATTTAGGTCTCTGATCAAATGGGATCTCCTCAGAGGAACTGAAAGTAGCCACTCTCCCTCACATCTCCCTGTATAAATGGAAAATGAACATCTTTCTTTCCTTGACCAAAGATAATTGTATCTAAGGAAAGTCAGTGGGTCAGAATTAGTTGGACATGTTCTGAATTATTTTTCCTACTCTCTTGCCTTGCTTTGGATTCAGGTCAAGTGTTTCTACCCTCTTGTTCTTATCCGATTGCAAATAATATAGAGTTAATGAGCTGGCAAGTTAATGAGCTTCCATACTGAAGATAAGCAGGTTAACAGCAGGACCCAGGAGGACTCACAACAGTCACTTTTGGTATTTGCCCAGGGGCAGATTACCCAACAAGCAAGGTAAGCACGGGCTTACTTGTGCTTACTTTCTAATCTGTAGTGAACAATTTCACATGGATCTCACCACATCTTTGATGTGAAATTGTTCACTACAGATTAGGAAGTAAGCACAAGTAAGCCCACGCTTACCTTACTTACTGGGTACTCCATCCCTGTCAGGGATTGTAAATTTGAGAAGAGGCTTTGATCCGGTAGGAAGGTGCTGTGGGGTTGGGAGAGACAGATGCCAGCCATACCTAGAAGCAGAATCTTTGATGTGGTGAAAGAACTTGAAATTGTTCACTATAGATGATCTGGTAAGCAAGGTAAGCACCGTGCTTACTTTGTCTATTGGATCATCTGCCCCTGGATTTGTCTGCATGTTTTTCTTGCTCAGCAGCTCTGTCTTTGGTGATCTGGACTCAGCTATACTTTAAATTCTTATTTCCATAGGACTTCTTGGGCCTACTTTGTATGCTGAAGTTGGAGACACCATGAAAGTTCACTTTAAGAATAAGGCAGACAAGCCTTTAAGCATCTATCCTCAAGGAATTAAGTACAGTAAATTCTCAGAAGGTAAGAAGAATCCAGTATCTCTCTGACAAGGGAGAATGTATAACCCTTTACCACAAGTCGAACATTTAGAACTGAATTGTTAACCATGTGTTGTTAGAGAAATCTCCTCTGCAATTGGGAATTATAAAAATTGTTGCATTTACAAGTTTCAGAGAGGAAACAAAAAGATTCTGGAGTCATCTAGACCTCAGTTTTTATCTAGGTTCTTGTCCTTTATTAGCTGGGTGACCGTGGGCAAGTTACCTAATCTCTCTAACTCCAGTGTGTTCATCTGTAAAATGGGAATAATAATACATGGCAATATGGTATAAAGGAGCCCTGGTGGCACAGTGGTTAAGTACTTGGCTGCTAACTAAAAGATTGGATGTCTGAACTCACCAGCCTGCTCTGCAAGAGAAAGATGTGTCGGTCTACTTTCGTAAAGATTATAGCTTTAGAAACCCTATGAGGCAGTTCTACTCTGTCCTATAGGGTTGCTATGACTTGATGGCAATGAGTTTAATACAGTTTAGAAAGGTGCCGGCAAACTTTTTCTATAAAGGGATGGATAATAAGTATTTTAGGTTTTGCAGGCCCGGTGGTCTCTGTTGTAACAGCTCAACTCTGTCTTGTAGCACAAAAGCAGCCATAGGCAACAAGTAAATGAATGATCTTGGTTGTGCTCCAATAAAACCTTATTTACAAAATCAGGCAGCAGGCCACATTTGGCCCAGGAGCCACACTTGATTTAGTGACATAGGGCTACTAGCCTGGCACAGAGATGACAGTCAATAAGTGGTACTTGGTTGTGGTGGTAGAAGGAGTATTAGAATTTTGAACGTAGTGAAGTGGTTAAAAACTTTGAATACAGTTAAGTTCAAATTCCACCTTTATCATTTCTGGTTGTATGACCTTAGCCTCTCTGAGCTTCAGTTTTCTCATGTATAAAATGGGAATGGTCATGCCCACACCTAAGATTGCTTTAAGGATTAAAGGAAATCATTTGGGTAGTATACAACACATGGTTTCTGGAACCGGGTAATCCCTCAATAAATGATGATCATCTTGATGATCATGAAGATGACCATGATGATGACGGAGATGAAAGTAACCACAGCAGCCACAGCATAGTAAGGAGCTATTGTTGACATACTTCTAATTATTCCCATTATGCTAATGTTCAGACCACAGTGAGCAGAGAAGAGTTCTGTCAGGAACTATTTTCAAGTAAAAACTGCATCTTTGTTGTAATAGTTGTTGGTATAATAACATTTTAAAATGATTACCACAGACCTTTCATATTCCTTCTCCAATCATACTTTTGAAGAAAGGAGTTGAGCAGGAGAGGGGTTTACAATGCAAGTTCTGGAACTAGACAGGCTGGATGCATATCCTGGCTCAGACACTTACTAGCTGTGTGACTTTTAGAAAGTTACTTGACTTCTCTGTGCCTCTTCTTTTTCATCTGTAAAATGGGGATAGTAATCATACCTACCTCATACAGATTTGTTGTGATGAAATCTTAGAACACTGCCTAGTATATAATAAACACTCAGATAAAGATGATTTTTCAAATAAAAATTGTAAAAATGGTATGGCAGGGGTGTCAGACCTTCTCTAACTTCACAAGGGGGAAGGAGAACAAGGAGCAACAGCCCAAGGCTGATTATTACAAAGTGGAGGCCAGACATACCTCCTCTCTCCAACCTTTTTGCCAATTCTGACACCAACTATCCCTCCCATGGCGCTCTCTACTTTTCTTCTGGGTTCAGTAATTCATTGTGATGGCCACATGGAACTCACAGACAATACTCATGATTATGGAGTTTATTAGGGAAGTAACAGGTTACAATTCAGGATACACTTCTTTGATCAGGACAGCCTCTTCTCAGCTGTTCCCACAGGCATGCCTGTCTGTGGCCCCTCAGCCCAGCCTCTGCCCTGCTCAGGCAAGTGTTACAAAGCTCTTTTAGATCTGCCACCAAGTGCCCAGAGGCACCCTACTCCACCAATAAGCCTTGGCCCAAAGGCGCTCAGCTCTCTCACTCTGTGGATTGACAAGCCTAGCTCCATCACCAAGTGCCTGGAGCACCCCTCTCTGCCAGGAAACCTCCTGCCTGAAGGCACTCAGCTGTCTAGCTCCATGACTTGTCACACCCACGTAACCACCTTGCCCCATGTGCCAGGAAGCCCACCACACTGCCTCCTGCTGATCTCCTGGTTTGGTTCCCTCTGCTGTTGCCATTTCTCTGCCGCTGCTTCTCTCCACCTCCGGTGTTACAGTTCTTCCTCTCTGTCCTGGTTCTGCTTCCTCTGCTGCCTCCCTCTGTCTTCTGTGTTACAGCTCTCTCTCTGCGTCTCTTGGATCTAGGAGGTCTCAGCACAGGGATCCCGGGTCCAGTGGATGTGCTCCACTCCTAGCTCTTCTTTCTTGGTGGTAGTAGGTCCCCCTCTGCTCTCGGATTGGTTCTCTTTTAAGCCTAGCGGGATGGTAAAACTGACCAATCCCTCATTAGGGTTCCATGCACCTATTTGCATGGTCCCACCCCCACAAGGTTGCCATGTACCTTATTTACATTGTTAGTAGCTATCCAATCCCCTTGGTGGGCCACAAGCACCTCATTTGCATATTGCTGCCCAGGTGGGAGTTACAAAGACTGTGGCTAGAAGGGCCATATTAAGTAATTTATTGCACCGCAAAAATGTTTTCAAAGAGTTTAATATTTGTCTGGCAAGCTATGTGTTATCAAGCACTTTTTACATCTATTATCTCCTATGTAACTTTTTGGAGTCCTGGTCGTGCAGTGGTTAAGAGCTCAGCTGCTAACCAAAAGGTCAGCAGTTCGAATCCACCAGCTGCTCCTTGGAAACGCTGTGGGGCAGTTCTACTCTGTCCTGTAGGGTCGCTATGAGACGGAATCAACTTGACGGCAATGGGTTTATGTAACTTTTTGTCAAACTCATTCTCACTAAGGTATAAGTGACTAATAATAGGTCAATGACTACCATCCCAGGAGTATTTGCATTAGCAGTCAGTCCTTGGCTTGAGGATGCAGCATTACCTGGAATATTTCAGGCATCTCAGAGAGCCAGTATGGGAAGATGGAGTGAGGTAGGGTGCACAGGAGTTTCTTATGTTCCTAAAAATCATACATACAGAGACAAAATGAACAATCACTTAAATCACTATTTAAAATATCACATACAGGTTCCATTTCATATATGGGAAGAGTAAGTGTGTTGGACTTTGTACCCCAGCTGGGCTGTTTGCACAGTGATTGAACCTTGTGACATTATCCCTCTTCCTTTGCCGTTCGTTTGTCCCCACACTCCCCCACAGCCAGCAATAGTTTATAAACGGTTGTTTAAAATGCTCCCACCGCTTCCTTTGGTGCCCTGATTATCAGTGCATAATATTGCCTCTGGTCCCATGAATCTAAGAAACGTAAATACAGATTGGCGGGGAAAGTAAAATTTTATCTTCAAAACTAGATGCAAATCTTGTAAAGGGATAATGTCCTTCATGGTAAAAGACAACCCTTCTGTTCATTTTATCACATTTCCTGGGTTAAAATAAAACACTCCTTCTCCATGTCTGACACTCACCCCCTACCATAGCCTCCTGGTTTGAGCTATTTACTCAGAGTGGACATAAACTTACTACATGCTGAACCAGCTACATGAGAATCCATATCCTGGTGGCAGATATTTGAGAGAAGGATGGCGGGGAGTTGAGACAATGTAATAGGCTTGAGAGAGAATCTAATCCTTGCCCAGGTGGCTGCTTGAGCTAACTCATAAACGATCCAACCTAGATAGCTGTCCTCCTTATCTGGGAGTTAATCCTTGAAACCCACCAATGATTTGGAGACTTACTCTCATCTGCTAGAAGGAGAAGATGGCTGTGGAAAGGACACTGGTTTTGGAACCAGATTGACCTGCGTTTGAACCCTGAGTAAATTCAGGCAAATTCCTTTACCTCTAACTCCCAATTTTATATCTGTAAAATGGGGATGCCAGTTTCTCACATCTAAGGTTAGTATAAGAATTAGTCATAATATATGCAAAGTGCTTGGCACATAGTTGGCTCTAGACAATGATAGCTGTTGTTGCTGTGATTATTTCATGGTTATTTATAGTGCAAGTATTAAATTTTGTCCCAAAAAGCTTAGATTGAATAAAGATCTTTGCCTTGGATGGTGCTGATCATCTTATTTCTACTCGAGTGAAATAAAACTCCCCATATAATTTAGACACCAAAGTGAACTAAAATTGTATAGAAAACCTCAGCTATCCAGAGCTCATACGAAATGAATAATTTTGAATAATTACATTTTCCAGAGAGCTTGAGGTTTACTTCTTTAAGTGTCTGAGATATTTTCCTATAATCACTCTGGAAAGAAATCTTTCTAAATGTTATACTTCCCCAGACCCTTTCAAAACAGAGGAGAAGGAGTAAAATTCTAATCCTTTTGTAAGCCATTACTTCCAATTGACTGTGAGATTTTACGGATATCCACAAACATTAGAATTGTGTGCAGTCGAAGAGTGAACAGACTCTAAATGAGAGCTTAAGTTGTTGTCTATGATATTGTCTATGGGTAAAGACCCTACGCTTTAATTCATAGAGTTTGTAGCACCCATTGTGGTTGCCCAGAAGGCTTGTTACTTTTCAGTTCTTGGCTATGCTTTGGTTAGGAGATGGCTGGAAATCAGCTCTGACGAGGAAAGATGCTGCCATACTCGGTGTGGAAATCTCGCACTGGCCAATCCGCCGTGAACTGACAACATATGACATAAATACCAAGTTGCATCTTGGTTTCAGACTGCTCCCAGGTGCACTCCTTCCCCACCTATGCCTCAGAGAAACCTTAACAGTACACAGGGCAAGGGCAAGTAACTCTTTTTGGCAGGATGGGCAAATGATGATGCGTGAAAAAAAATACATAAAACACTTCTTTCAGAAATGTATTTAATAGAAATATGCTTTTAAATCAGGAAATAAAATACCTGCAAATGCA